TTTTTCCTCCAAAACCAAAAACACACATATTCACTTTGTGAATTATTTGCTAATGCCTTAATGCTAAATGTAACTTACCAGCCACCTAGCCAAGAATCAGTGATTATGGGATTTATTCCTATTGGAAGAGATAGTACACAACTCAAATTAGATCTTTTCTTTAAAAAAAAATGTGTTGGAAGATTGTTGAACCAATGAAATTTAGAAGGGAGAAAACATAATTTCTAAAACTTTGATAAAGAGACATTATTTTTTAATAAGTCATGAAAATGTGCATTGACTCTTAAAGGTTTCAAGGAAATAAGGTAGCCTAATAAAGAGGATTAGCTGGTGAGCCAATGGGAAATTTAATATACTTTTTTCTCCCTCGTATTTTATTTTCACTTACTTTTATTACAATCTATGTTTGTGAAAGAACTAGAGGTTTGATTTGCAACAGGAATATTTTACTGTTTCCATTACCTGAGGGTAGGAGCCAACACTTAAGCTCCATGTATCACTAGAATTGCCAAAGTTTGTGAGTAGTTCTGTTCAATTCAATAGTAAAAACAACGACTGGATAATGCTAGGCAAACTGCAGTAACAAACAAACAAAAACCCAATTCATAGTGGCATAACATAATCAAATTTTATTCATGTTCATACAAAGTCCGATACAATCCAGGAGCTCTACTGAGAAGCTCCCATTTGATAATGACTGAGGGATGCAAGTTCCTTGCATACTGTGGCTACACCATTACCAATCTTCCTGCTGCAGAGGTAGAAAGAGACACAAAAAATACACTGGCATTTAACTGTCCTGGCCCAGAAATGCCGCTTTCCCATATTTCATTGGCCAGAGCTAGTCACATGACACTAACCTAACTGCATCGTAGGCTGGGAGGTATAGAAGAGCACTAGAGTATCTGGTGAGCCCTAAGAGCCTTTCCCACAAGCAGTGCTGACATATTGATTAAAGCTATTTTCCAAGATCTGTGCTAATTAATTTACACGCATTATCTAGGATCCTCAAAACAACCTTTCAAGATAAGTGTTAATAATTTCACTTTATAAATGAATAAACCAAGGCTCACAAAATTAACTAATTTACATGTATTATCTCTCATTCCCACAGAGACTTATTATTATTATACTTTAAGTTCTGGGATACATGTGCAGAATGTGCAGGTTTGTTACATAGGTATACATGTGCCATGGTGGTTTGCTGCACATCATCTATATTAGGTATTTCTCTTCTAATGTTATCCCTCCCCTAGCCACCCGACCCCAACAGGCCCCAGTGTGTGCTGTTCCCCTCCCTGTGTCCATGTGTTCTCATTGTTCAACTCCCATTTATGAGTGAGAATATGTGGTGTTTGGTTTTCCATTCCTGTGTTAGTTTGCTGAGAATGATGGTTTCTAGCTTCATCCATGTCCCTGCATAGGACATGAATTCATCATTTTTTATGGCTGCATAATATTCCATGGTGTATATGTGTAACATTTTATTTATCCAGTCTATCATTGATGGACGTTTGGGTTGGTTCCAAGTCTTTGCTATTGTGAACAGTGCTGCAATAAACATACATGTGCATGTGTCTTTATAGTAGAATGATTTATTATCCTTTGGGTATATACCTAGTAATGGGATTGTGGGGTCAAATGGTATTTGTGGTTCTAGATCCTTGAGGAATCACTACACTGTCTTCCACAATGGTTGCACTAATTTACACTCCCACCAACAGTCTAAAAGTTTCCTATTTCTCCATATTCTCTCCAGCATCCGTTGTTTCCTGACTTTTTAATGACTGCCATTCTAACTGACGTGAGATGGTATCTCATTGTGATTTTGATTTTAATTTCTCTAATGACCAGTGATGATGAGCTTTTTTTCATAGGTTTGCTGGCCTCATAAATGACTTCTTTTGAGAAGTGACTGTTAATATCCTTCACCCACTTTTTAATGGAGTTGTTTTTTTCTTGTAAATTTAAGTTTGTTGTAGATTCTAGATATTAGCCCTTTGTCAGATGGACAGACTGCAAAAATTTTCTTCCATTCTGTAGGTTGCCTGTTCACTCTGATGATAGTATGTTTTGCAGTACAGAAGCTCTTTAGTTTAATTACATCCCATTTTTCAATGTTGGCTTTTGTTGCCACTGCTTTTGGTGTTTTAGTCATAAAGTCTTTGCCCATGCCTATGTCCTAAATGGTATTGCCTAGGTTTTCTTCTAGGGTTTTTATGGTTTTAGGTCTTATGTTTACGTCTTTAATCCATCTGGAGTTAATTTTTTTTTTTGGAGTTAACTTTTGTATAAGGTATAAGGAAGGGGTACAGTTTCAGTTTTCTGCATATGGCTATCCAATTTTCCCAACACATTGTATTAAATAGGGAATCCTTTCTCTATTGCTTGTTTTTGTCAGGTTTGTCAAAGATCAGATGGTTGTAGATGTGTGGCATTATTTCTGAGGCCTCTGTTCGGTTCCATTGGCCTATATATCTGTTTTGGTACCAGTACCATGCTGTTTTGGATACTGTAGGCTTGAAGTATAGTTTGAAGTCGGGCAGTGTGATGCCTACAGCTTTATTCTTTTTGCTTAGGATTGTCTTGGCTATATGGGCCCTTTTTTTCCATATTAAATTTAAAGTAGTTTTTCTAATTCCCCACAGAAATTTTTAAAGGTTTCTATTAACTTCAGTTTACAATTGAACCTCATAAACATAATTTTCCAAAAGTCAAAGGACAAAAGTAGGATTTTAACCCTGGAAAGACCCTATCTTTTTACTTTTCCACATGCTGTGTACCAAATGTACTGCTAGGCTCTGCGGATACCACAAACAAACAGAAACATGGGGAGGGGAAAAGAGAGAGGCCTCATTTCTGCTAAATGACATCAGATACTGCCATCAGCATCATGCACTGGTGCCTCAAGGGAATGTTCACACTTGGACCAGGGATATAAAAACCATTATTTCCAAAGTCAAAAAGACCAGGCAATCAGAGTTAGGTTTTCTATAAAATGAATAGAGTTTTAGGTTCAGAATCCACAGGCACCTTCCAATGTCCTAGAAGGGGCCCAAGCAGTGTGTTCAGATGGTGTTTCTGTAACATATGCAAAAAATGAGATTTTTAAAACAGGAATTAGTTAAGACCACTGCCTCTTTCCATGTCTATGTCCAACCTTTCAGGTTGCTGGTGGGAAACTACTTATGGGCATTTTTAAGATCCAGTTGAGAGGAAATCAAATAGAATGTACATTTAATTTGGCTTTCACAAGAAATATTCATGAATCACAGTCATTTACTTGCATAAATAAGTTACTGCTAGGCAAACTGGTTTAAGGAATGGCTTTCAGGAATATCCCTAGTATTGTCTCACCTGCCATCACAACATGTATGTGCAGAGCTGGAAAGTGTATTGCGATATGAACATGTTCCTATGGCACCTAGCAACAGAAGAACATGGGTGAAGCTGGAAATGGAGACAGTCAGAAGCTAGTAAAGGGAAAATTCTCATAATCACCAGACATGTAAAACTGTGAGTAGAGAATGCAGTTTCCATGAATGTGTAGTCAAAGTAGTTTTTTTTTCTGTGAATATATGCTCAACAATGCAGCATTTACAATTGTAAATCACCATAATTTTATGCTTTCAATGGCACTTTCATGAAATAAAATTGATTTCAATTTCTGTATTTGGAGGAGTACTACAGAGAACACATATGCAAACTCATATGTGAACGAAACTTCCACAGGTTCTCCAAATTTGACAAAAATCCATAATTTTACACAATCAATCATGGGTTATAGAAATAAAATAAACCTTTTGTAAACAATTATCAATAAGAAAACAAATTTCTATCAACCATGCTGGAGAAAAGATTAGTTTATTCTATTCTCTTTATAGAAAATGATATAAAATTTAAAAATTGTTGACATGTAAAGAAGTAATCAAAGAGCTTACATCAAAAAATACTGGGAAAAGAACAGTTTAATTTCAGAAAGTTAATTTAATTTGCAGTGTTTGTCAGCTCTTTTAAATTTCTGTGTGTGATTTCGTTTTCTATGTTATGTATTACTATCATACTTACTTTGTGTCCTTTTTCTTAAAGAGTCCTGTCCTACCCCCAATTATGTAAGGTTCAGGTTCCCCTAAACCAGGATTCACCCTGTGCTACCACACATTGGCAGGTAAAATGCCCATCTCACTGACCTAGCAGAATTTATTTTTATTTTTATTTTTAAGTTCTGGGGTACATGTGCAGGATGTGCAGGTTTGTTACATAGAAGTGGTGTAAAATGTGAAAAAAAAAAAAAAAAAAAAAAAAAAAAAAAGGAGAGAGATCCAAGATGGCTGATCACTAGCAGCTCGGGATTGCAGCTCCCACTGAAAGAGCAGAGAACGAGAGGACGCCACACTTTCAGTTCAATTTTTGTTGCTCACACACCAGGAGATTCCCAGCGGAGGAGCCCCACCTGTCGCCAGCGTGACTCTTGAGGCCGGTGAGGCGGTTTTGCCGCTGCCTTGGTGTGGCGGTTCTTGGTGCAGAGTCAGAAAAGCACCATCAATCTTAAAGCCGCTGTTTTGGCCGGAGCAGTGGGTTGCTCAGATTCTAGCGCCGGGAATCAACAAGTTGGACGTCCATTCAGAAACCCAACTATAAAGACGGTAATTATAAAGACCACAGATGGATAAATTTATAACGAAGGGAAGAAAACAGCCTAAAAAGGCTGAGAATACCCAAAATCAGAATGCCTCTCCCTCTACAGGGGATCACAGTTCCTCATCAGAAACAGAACAAGGCCTGATGGAGAAAGACTGTGTTCCATTAGCAGAAGCTGGCTTTAAAAAGTGGATGATAAGAAACTTCTGGGAATTAAAAGAACTTGTTCTAACCCAATGCAAAGAAACTAAGAACTTTGAAAAAAGGTTTGACGAAATGTTAACAAGAATACACAATTTAGAGAGGAATATAAGTGAATTAATGGAGCTGAAAAACACAACACGAGAATTTTGCGAACTATGCACAAGTTTTAACAGCCGAATTGATCAAGTAGAAGAAAAGATATCAGAGGTCGAAGACCAACTTCATGAAATAAAACAAAAAGACAAGATTAGAGAAAAAAGGATAAAAAAGAACGAGCAAAGTCTCCAAGAAATATGGGACTATGTGAAAAGACCTAATCTACGTTTGATAGGTGTACCTGAATGTGACGAAGAGAATCAATCCAAGCTGGAAAATACGCTTCAGGATATTATTCAGGAAAACTTTCCCAACCTAGCAAGGCAGGACAATATTCAACTCCAGGAAATACAGAGAACACCACAAAAATATTCCTCAAGAAGGCCAACCTCAAGGCACATAATTGCCAGATTCACCAGGGTTGAAATGAAAGAGAAAATACTGAGGGCAGCCAGAGAGAAAGGTCAGGTTACCCATAAAGGGAAGCCCATCAGACTCACAGCAGATCTCTCAGTAGAAACCCTACAAGCCAGAAGAGAGTGGGGGCCAATATTCAACATCCTTAAAGAAAAAAACTTTCAACCCAGAATTTTACATCCAGCCAAACTAAGCTTCATAAGCGAAGGAAAAATAAAATCTTTTGTGAACAAGCAAGCACTCAGAGATTTCATCACCACCAGGCCTGCTTTACAAGAGCTTTTGAAAGAACCACTACAAATAGAAAGGAACAACTAGTATCAGCCTTTCTAAAAAATACCAAAAAATAAAGAACATCAACATATTTAAGAAATTGCATCAACTAACGGGCAAAACAGCCAGCTAACATTAAATGACAGTATCAAACACACATATATTGTTATTAATTTTAAATTTAAATCGACTACATCCCCCAATCCAAAGACACAGACAGGCAAAAAAAGCCAAGACCCATTGGTATGCTACATCCAGATCCATCTCACATGCAAGGATACATAAAGACTCAAAACAAAGGGATGGTGAAAAATTTACCAACCAAATGGAGAGCTAAAATAAATAAATAGAAAGCAGGAGTTGCAATTTTTGCTGATAAAATAGATTTCAAAGCAATAAAGATCAAACGAAGCAAAGAAGGATATTACATAAAGATAAAAGGATCAATGTAACAAGAAGAGCTAAAGATCCTAAACATATATGCACCCAATACAGAAATACCCAGATATATAAGACTTACAAAGAGACTTGGACCCCCACACAATAATAGCGGGAGACTTCAACATCAATATTAGATAGATCAATGAGACAGAATGTTAACATCGATATCCAGGACTTGAACTCAGATCTGGAACAAGTAGACTTAATTAACATTCATAGAACTCTCCACTTTAAATACACAAAATATACACTCTTATCAGTACTACATCACACGTATTTACAGGTTTAAATGAAATATTGGTTGGCTGCTTGTTAATTATTTTATTCCCTCATTTTTTTATGTCTCTATTATTAAACACAATTACAGGCATACCCAGTTTTAGACTGCATTCTAGCCCGGGCAATAAAGCAACACCCCTGTTCTCTCTCCCTCTTCCTCTTTCTTCCTTTCCTGTATTCTTTTTCTTTTTTTTTTTTTTTTTTTTTAATTCTTTTTCTTCCTTTCAAAAAAAAAAAAATGTGAAAACCATGAAAAAATAAAACAATAAAGGATCTAGATGCCAATAGTGTGATAAGTTAACATGTTGACTATTTCAAAGCAAAATAAGTCTTTGATGTTTTAAATATTCATAGCAGGATATAAGTATTTAATCTGCAAAGACATGTAATGTAAAGAACAGCATCTTTATTATTAATAATAGCACCATGCAGATTATATTTATCAATAATGAATACTATTCAACTTTAAGGGACAACTATGACTTAGGCCAGGCAACAAAGATGCTTGGATAAAAGCGGAGTTTATAAAATGAAGAAAGGGGACCTTCTGATCCACTGTACACGAAATGAAACAATCTAAAGTCTCTAGGGAGAATTAGAGTTTCTGTCTGGCACAAAGTGGAGTCGCCTACTTGTTGGTAGATATAGGATACATTTAATCACCAAGATATAAAAGGAAATTTGATAGTGCCAGGAAAAAAATGCAATGCTAATAATTTGAAGTTTAATAAATAATGTTAATGCTTATGCTTAATAAATGCCTGATGGACTTTTCTTTTAAAAAATTTGCTACCATAGTCAACATTTTCAAAAATTCTATTTAGAAAACAGAAATAGCATTTCTCATGCTGAATGTCTTTAACAGCACAAAGAGGAAAATGAGACTAAAATAAGACATTGTCTTTATCCGTTTTTATCAGGCTATCTAAAACATGTTACAGAGTTTAACTCAGTAGCCCTTACATTACATTCCAGATAATTTCAAAATATACCACCGTTCTTGAGCTGGGTAGCCTGTGGACCAGAGAGATGAATCAATTTGTTAAACGTAAGTAGTAAACACAGTACAAAAATAAAGGTTGGAAAGAGGGGAGGAGAAGCTAGAATCCTCAGCACAAATTCTGAGGCTGATCCATTCCAGTAAGTTTCTTAAAATAAATTATTCTGTTTTTCTCAGGAAAATACTACGGCCCTGTTTTCAATAAACTAGGATAGCTCCAGAAACAATTTAGCAGTCAATCTGAGAGTTATTCAGAAAGATCTAATTATATTCCAATGGCTCTAAATATATTGTGAACTGTGGATAATTTTGAAGAATTTAATTCACAGAGAAAGTGTAGAACCACAAATCAATAGAAAATGTGTTAATGGCGGAAATCCTTCTCATATAAGAATAGTTCTGTTCACACTTTGTACCTCCTCTAAATTCTATTTCACTAAAATTCTGAGAAACCCCCCCTTCAAAAAAAAAGAAAAAATCAAAAGCTAGATGGATAAAATCCAGAATCTTTTTTTTTTTTTTAATCTGGAAAGGGTTTTGAAGATCATCGATTTAGCCTTCTGACTTATCTGAAATAGTCATTTAGATAGAGGCAGAATTAGGATCAGAAACCAAATCTCTCCACTCCTACTACCACAATACTGTCATAAATCACACTGCCTCTTCCCAAACCTTTTCCCACTCCCAAAAAAAGATTAAAAAAAAAAAAAAAGTCTTACAGTGGATGATCACATTAAAAAATCTGAGGGTATATGAGAATTCCTGAGTTTAGATTTTTAAGAAAATTTTTTATCAACATAAAACTAATATTCCCAAGAGACAGACATTGGGAATACTATTTGGCTTTAAGGTTAGGAGTGGTGATAGCAAAGGAGCAAAAGAGAAAAGTAAAGGAAGGGAGAAACTGTGCAGAACTATACCCTCAGTAACCCTATTGTGAGCCATATGCTGGATGCTGAGGAAAAGGAAATGAAAAGCTTTGAATGCAGTTGTCCTACTTCCTGCTATTTCCACTTGAACCAAACTATTTTTCCACCAGGATCCAACATGTGTGCAGTGACACATGGAAACAGGGTGAGCTCATGAACACAGGGGAATACTCTCCAGCATTCCCAGCACAGCACCCTGGACACACATGGCCACTCCCAACCTCCACTCCAACGGATGGTTAATGTGGAAGACCTACTGATGGAAAAACTCACTTTGGAGCAGAAAAGGAAAGCCAAAAAATAGCCCGGGCACCTGGCTGCCATTTATGAATAATGCCAGCAGACAAAAAACATTAGATCTCTTAGTTGGAAAAGACTTTTATTCATTTAAATCATGGCAAGAAACTCCTCCAGCAATACAGGAGATAGTGGTATCAAAAACAGATAACCATGTAAAAACTATGCAAATTTGGAAAAGTGCATTGCTCTGTCAAAGTTCATTAAGTAGGTCTTAATATTTTAGCAAAAGAAAATCTCCCATCTGAACACAGGGCATGATGAAGCTCATTTTCTTGTTTCATGTTTGTATGTTTCTGACACTGCAGTACAACATTTTAAATTGAATCTTTAAATGATTTTTCTGATGTCAAAAACATTATTGGGAAGGCCAAGCTCGCTAGGTGACCTTAAGTGAGGTGGTTACAGCATTGTTGCTGGTAATTTGGCTTTGTGATATATCCTTCTCCTAGGTATTAAGGTCTGGTTTGAATTAAAGTCTGCAGCATACTCACAGCTGTAAAAGTAACTGAAAGGACTTGTTTTCATCTGATGGCCAAAAGACTTTCTTGTAACATACAGTTTGTACGTTTAATTACTTACTTGTTGGGCATTTATTGACCCTCTACACACCTGATGCCAAGCACTGTGCTAGGTATAGATATAAATCCTGACCTAGTTTCAAGCCCTATTTCTGCTGAGTAATTACATTTCAGTGGAGCATGATATTTAACCCCTCAGCTTGTTTCCTCTTAGGTTTGTTGTAAAAACGGAATGAGAGATAATAGATGTAAAATACTCAATACATTATGGTTTTAAGATGACAGTTTCTACCTTTGAATAGTTCAATTTGAAAATGAGATGCACATGAATAACCAAAATGTAATATGCTATTTGCTACAGCAGAAGGTGTCTACTAAGACAGTACGGAGAAAGGAGTGGCTAATTTTGTCTAGCGTGGGGCTGGGAGAAGGTCATCAACGAAATGTCAGAAAGAAGGTAACTTTGGCAAATGAGTAAACAGGGGCAGAGAGAGACATTTAGAAAAGTTAAGATTAAATCTACCAGGTCTCCTGGTAGCAGCAGAAAAGTTTACCCCCTCAGGCCACTGATGCTCCCATTCTTGGAAGCTGAAAGTTGTGCAGGACATTTCTAGCTTTGCCCCCACACTGCCTGGCCCTGATGGCATTTCCAAAAATTATTCTAATGAGGGAACTGATCCTTCCAAGGAAGCAATTTAGGAAAAAATGGGATAAAATCAGTAGATGAGTCATAGAGGAACTGAGGAAGGGGGTGGGGAAGATACCATTGGATAAATCTAGAGTTAAAAAATAACATAGTTAAGATCACACAATACACTCAGGGTACTTAGGACTTAGTATGCGTTCTACTAGTTTTCCATCGGAAAAAAACTACTGGTAAAAAAAACTATTCACTAAAATGTTAGAGTGTCTGTTTCTTCTAACATGTAAGGAAAGTATTCCACAGTGACGGACAAGCAATAAGTTTATCACTAATGAAGCAGTGAGCTAGTATGGAGATGGCAAATAGAAGAAGCCACTGTCCCCTCCCCTCCCTTTCCTCACCCTAGGCAGGCATTATAAATCAATGATGGCATGCTGTCCTTTTGAAACTGGATGAAACCTCTGAATCTTGGCCTTTACTGTCATCCCTGAACTAGTAGTCCTATAAAGAATATGCTGAAAACACAGTGAACAACATGATATTGTGCCCACAGAAAGAACAACAGTGCAGTCTCATTGGTCTGGTTAAGAGAATCATGCAAACTCTCAAAGTTCAACTTGATGATGTTGCAGTCAAGCTGTTAAAAAAAAAAGAAAAGAAATTTCAACTTGATTCTAGATATTTACTGTGAAATGAGGCTGAGACAGTGTTAAATATTATGGATTGGTTTACTCAACATTTATGCCAACTCTCTTCTAGCATACAGAAGCTGGAAAAAAACATTTCTTGATCCTTTTAAATTCAGGTTTGGAATTTAAATTCAGAAGGACTTGCATGAAAAAAAAGGTAGTGTTCAGTGTACCTATTCCTAGAAAGGTCTGTGCTGGAGACAGCGTTGTCTCATGGTCAGCCGCAGTAACCCAGGCTTCCTGATCCAGGGACTCCTGGCCCTGGTGGAGAAGGTAGCAGCAGCTCACTTGGACGCTCAGTTCTCTAATAATGTTTGAGAGTCATTCCTGGAAGCTCACCTAGACCCCGTGTTTTCAGTTCCCTCTGTCACAATAATTTCACAAACCTCTTCATAGCCAAGTATCTTTCAGTTTAAACAGGCCAGACTCTTGTCTAAAACTGAACTCTGGCTTACAACAAACATAAAAAACTACCTTAAACCATATTCACTGGAAAAAATAATGTGGCAAAAATAGTTCTAATGTCATGAATGTTTTAGGTAAAGCCCATATTATTATAGCTTCAGCTGTTAACTCCCTATGAAAATAAATACAAAATCTATATATCTCCAAATTCTGACCTTACCTGCCCTTCCATACCTCAAACTGCTTCTTGAACTTCTACACTTGGGTTTTCTGCCGTCACCAAGGTGTCATATATCAATAATTTTTTTAATCTTCCCTTTCATTATCATGGTCACCTCGGCTCAAAATTTCAGCATAATCTCACTTCTCTCTTTGTCCTTTACCAAGCCCTAACAATTCTTTCTTTGCATAATCTCTCTTTCCCATTGTCACTATCATCAATTTAGTTCAGGCTTTTCTCAACTGGGCTTGTTCTAGTGTAATATTCTCCTGTCTGGTTTCCCTTGTTTCCAGTATATCCTAATCGCTTTGACCCACAAATTTTTCCTAGCTATGGCACCCAAATCAGTACTTCTAAAAATCATTCTCATTTTGACACTTCCTGCTCAAATATTTTGAGACTTCCTATACCCCAAATATAAAATTCAAACAATTTAACTTGGCTCTCAAGGCTTCCACAATCTGACTGTCAACTAATCAAAATTACTTCCCACTACTTCCCTTCTTAAGCACTACAGCCAAACTGGCCTCTTCACATTCTCATCTTATTGAAATACTATTTTGAAGAACCGTGTCTTGTACACCATTTTTCCTTCCTTCAGTGCCCCTTACTCTCTTCTCTGCATTTCATGTAATAAGAATAGAAAATCATAAACCTCCTCCATTACAAGGCAAAATGGGGAGTGAAGACTCCAGAGCTATCTGAATGACAAATAGAAAAGAATTTGCTAAATTAGGAAAATAACGTTTTAGATTATTTTATCGTTTTAGTCCACTATCAGACATATGTTTTATTTGGATTCTGGGAGAGTTGCAACTTCTTGTGAGTCCTATGGTTCTCCAGGTGGAAAGGAAAATACTATTCAAATGGACTATAATCATGAAATTATTTACATTGGATGACAGATAGTACCACTGGCTTATATAACTTTTTTGGTGAATATAATTGTGAATAAAGCCAGATAAGAATTTGGTTAACTTCTGCCAACTGAGACATCCATGCAGATGAGCAGCTAGCTGAAACTCTCTATCACCACCGTATATATTTTTTTCTGTGACAATTTTAGTATCTGCATCAGAAATGCATTGCTCATTTTATCTATCTCATCAAAGAGCCTCAAATCTACTTCAAAAACAATGGACTGTTTTTATTTTTTTTCATCCTTTCTCCTGTCCTGCAGTGTGCTTGCACCAGCAGGTAAAGGGATTCTCTTCTAGGTATGCAGCATCCTGACACACATCACCTCTCCCCTGCCACTGCTCTGCCACTGTACTTTTCCAGTTGAGGGCTCTGGAACAGTAGACCAAGTGCTGCATCTGAATTCACGCTTGCTGATTATGGTCTTAGGCTTATTTTGTTCATCTTGTTTGCTACGTCCATATCACACAAGGGATGGATGTTTAAGACTTCAGTGTTATTTGTGGCTTTCCTGCCAATTTTCACTTGTCAAAACCTGAGAAGCTCCCATAATCTTTTCATGTCAACCAGGTCTTCCACAGAGAGTTAGTCTGGATGTTTCTCTTCGTATCTCCCATGTCCAGTTCACAGAACTCTAGACTAGGCAAATATATTCTTCCCCATTCTAATAAGATGTGTGCCACCAGTAGCCTAAAATCCATCTTCCTATTAAAGACAACCATGATTCAGAGATTTCCCATTGTTGGATTCCATCTTGGTAACCTTTTGAACACTTACTGCTCATCTAAAGTCACAGAAGTTAATTGGAAAAGGTGAATAGCAATGCTTCAAGTCTGTATGCGATTTTTCCCCCTAGAATATATTGCCCAAATATTATCCAGAATTCCTTCCTTTCCCAACAAATAGGCTCAACAAGTTTTTTTAGGCTTTCCAAGCCAACTGTTGTGCTGGGGAAAGACAAGCAATAGGCCACACCAAATCTGCATAGAGCCACATACAGGCATTCACAATCCCCATTTCTTACTGAAAAGGCTAATATTCACCCAGTACTTGAAGCCTTCTGTGATGAATCATGATGCTTTCCTGATTGGCATTCTAATATGCCCCATTATTCCTTCACTCTCTCGTCTAAATCACATTCTTCCACTCTCCTTTTTATTGTGTGTTTTTCAGACAGGGTCTCACTCTGTCACCCAAGCTGGAGTACAGTAGCACGATCACAGCTCATGGCAGCCTTGATCTCCAGGGCTCAAGCTCTCCTCCCACTTCAGCCTCCTGAGAGTAGCTGGGATTACAGGTGTGTGCCACCAAGCTTGGCCAATTTTTTATTTTTAGTTTCAGTAGAGATGGGGGTCTTACCATGTTGCTCAGGCTGTTTTCAAACTTCTGGGGCTTAAGCAATCCTCCTGCCTCAGCCTCCCAAAGTCTGGGATTACAGGTGTGAGCCACCATGCCTGGCCCTTTTACTCTCCTTTCTCATGAGCCAGATATTAATTACTCTTGGAAGATTCATCATTATCTTTGGCAGTGCATGTGCTACTTCTTTTCCAGGAAGTCTAGACTGTCACATGCTTTTCAGTGTCACATTCCTCTACTTTCTATTCTCCTGACTCAACTGTCAGTTCTCTTTCACCATGCTTGAATCCTGTATTTCCTGGTTTTCTTAATTTTCTACAAGAACTTCAATCTCTGATATCCTTTCTTCTACTTGATCAATTCAGCTATTGAAACTTGTGTATGTTCGTGAAGTTCTTGTGCTGTGTTTTTCAGCTCCATTAAGTCATTTAGGTTCTTCTCTAAGCTGGTTATTCTAGTTAGCATTTTGTCTAACCTTTTTTCACGGTTCCTAGTTTCTTTGGATTGGGTTAGAACTCCTTTAGCTAGGAGAAATTTGTTATTACCCACCTTCTGAAGCCTGCTTCTGTCAATTCGTCAAACTTACTCTCCATCCAGTTTTGTTCTCTTGCTGGTGAAGAGTTGTGATCCCTTGGACGACAAGAGGCATTCTGGTTTTTGGTGATTTCAGCCTTTTTGTGCTGGTTTCTTCCCATCTTGGTCAATTTATCTACCTTGAAGTTGGTGACTTTCAGATGGGGTCTCTGAGCGGACATCCCTTTCTGTTGATGTTGAAGCTATTTCTTTCTGTTTTTTAGTTTTCCTTCTAACAGCCAGGCCCCTCTGCTGCAGGACTGCTGGAGGTCAACTCCGGGCCCTGCTTGCCTGGGAATCAGCTATGGGTGCTACATAACAGCTAGGATTGCTGCCTGTTCCTTCCCCTGGTAGCTTTGTACAGAAAGTTACCTGCCAGATGTCAGCCAGAACTCTCCTGTATGACACGTCTCTTAGGATATACGGGGGTCAGGAAGCCACTTGAGGAGGCAGTCTGTCCCTTGTAAGAGTTCAAGTGCTGTGCTGGGAGCTCTGCTGCTCCCTTCAGAGCTGCTGGGAAGGGATATTTAAGTCTGCTGAAGTAGAACTTATTGATCAAGTGGAAGTAAGGGTATCAGAGATTGAAGATCAACTCAATGAAATAAAATGAGAAGGTGAGACTAGAGAAAAAAGAGTCAAAACAAATGAACAAAGCCTCCAAGAAATATGGGATTATGTGAAAAGACCAAATCCACATTTGATCGGTGTACCTCAATGTGACGGGGAGAATGGAACCAAGCTGGAAAACACTATTCAGGATATTATCCAGGAGAACTTTCCCAACCTAGCAAGGTAGGACAATATTCAAGTCCAGGAAATACAGAGAACACCACAAAGATATTCCTCAACAAGAACAACCCCAAGGCACGTAATTGTTAGATTCACCAGGGTTGAAATGAAGGAAAAAATGCTAAGGGCAGCCAGAGAGAAAGGTTGGGTTACCCACAAAGGGAAGCCCATCAGACTCACAATGGATCTCTTGATAGAAACCCTACAAGCCAGAAGAAAGTTGGGGCCAACATTCAACATCTTTAAAGAAAAGAACTTTCAACCCAGAATATCATATCCAGCCAAACTAAGCTTCATCAGTGAAGGAAAAATAAAATTGTTTACAGACAAGAAATTGCTGAGAGATTCTATCACCACCAGGCCTGCCTTACAAGAGCCCCTGAAGGAAACACTAAACATGGAAAGGTACAACCAGTACCAGATACTGTAAAAGCATACCATACGGTAAAGACCATCAACACAATGAAGAAATGGCATCAACTAATGAGCAAAAGAACCAGTTAGTATCAAAATGGCAAGATCAAATTCACACATAACAATATGAACCTTAAAGGTAAATGGGCTAAATGCCCCAATCAAAAGGAACAGACTACTGACAAATTGGATAAATAGTCAAGATCTATTGGTACGCTGTATTCAAGAGACTCACCTCATGTGCAAAGACACACATAGGATCAAAATAAATGGAGGAGGAAGATTTATGAAGCAAATGGAGAGCAAAAAAAAGCAGGAGTTGCAATCCCAGTCTCTGATAAAACAGACTTTAAACCAACAAAGATCAAAAGAGACAAAGAAGGGCATTACATAATGATAAAATCATCAATGCAACAAGAAGAGCTAACTATCCTAAATATATTGCACCCAAAACAGGAGCAGCCAGATACATAAAGCAAGTTCTTAATTACCTACAAAGAGATTTAGATTCCCACACAGTAATAGTGGGCGACTTAAACACTCCACTGTCAATATCGGAGAGATCAATGAGACAGAAAATTAACAAGGATATCTAGAACTTGAACTCAGAGCTGGACCAAGTGGACCTAATAGACATTTACAGAACTCTCTACCCCAAATCCATAGAATATACATTCTTCTCAGCACCATATCATACTTACTCTAAAACTGACCACATAATTGGAAGTAAATCACTCCTCAGCAAATGCAAAAGAACGGAAATGGTAACAAACAGACTCTCAGACCACAATCAAATTAGAACTCAGGATTAAGAAACTCACTCAAAACTGCACAGCTAAATGGAAACTGAACAACCTGCTCCTGAATGACTACTGGATAAATAATGAAATGAAGGCAGAAATAAAGATGTTCTTTGAAGCCAATGAGAACAAAGACACAATGTACCAGAGTCTCAGGGACACATTTAAAGCAGTGTCTAAATGGAAATTTATAGCACTAAATGAGAAGTGAGGAAAGATCTAAAATCGACACCTTAACCTCACAATTTAAAGAACTGGAGAAGAAAGATCAAACAAACTCAAAATCTAGCAGAAGATAAGAAATAACTAAGATCAGAGCAGAACTAAAGGAGATAGAGACACAAAAAAACGCTTCAAAAAAATCAATGAATCCAGGAGCTGGTTTTTTGAAAAGATCAACAAAATAGATAGACTGTTAGCTGGACTAACAAAAAAGAAAAGAGAGAAGAATTGAATAGATGCAATGAAAAATGATAAAGGGGATATCACCACTGATTCCACAGAAATACAAACTACCATCAGATTACCAGAAACACCTCTATGCACATAAACCAGGAAATCTAGGACAAATGAATAAATTTCTGGACACTTACACTCTCCCAAGACTAAACCAGGAAGAAGTTGAATCCCTGAATAGAACAATAACAAGGTCTGAAGTTGAGGCAGCAATTAATAACCTACCAACCCAAACAAGTCCAGGACCAGATGGGTTCACAAGTGAATTCTACCGGAGGTACAAGGAGGACCTGGCACCACTCCTTCTGAAACTATTCCAAACAATACAAAAAGAGAGAATCATCCCTAACTCATTTTATGAGACCAACATCACCCTGATACCAAAACCTGGCAGAGATACGACTAAAAAAGAAAATTTCAGGCCAATATCCATAATGAACATTGATGTGAAAATCTTCAATAAAATACTGGCAAACTGAATCCAATAGCACATCAAAAAGCTTATCCATCACAATCAAGTCGGCTTCATCCCAGGGATGCAAGGCTGCTTCAACATATGCAAATCTATAAACATAATCCATCACATAAACAGAACCAAAGACAAAAACCACATGATTATCTCAATAGATGCAGAAAAGGTCTTTGACAAAATTCAACAGCCCTTTATGCTAAAAACTCTCAATAAACTAGGTATCAATGGAACGTATCTCAAAATAACAAAAGCTATTTATGACAAACCCACAGCCAATATCATACTGAATAGGCAGAAACTGGAAGTATTCCCTTTGAAAACTGGCACAAGACAAGGGTGCTGTCTCTCACTACTCCTATTCAATGTACTATTGGAAGTTCTGGCCAGAGCAATCATGCAAGTAAAAGAAATAAAGCATATTCAACTAGGAAAAGAGGAAGTCAAATTGTCCCTATTTGCAGATGACATGATTGCATATTTATAAGACCCCATCTACTCAGCCCAAAATCTCCTTAAGCTGGTAAGCAACTTCAGCAAAGTCTCAGGATTCAAAATCAATGTGCAGGAATAACAAGCATTCCTATATACCAATAACAGACAAACAGAGAGCCAAATCATGAGTGAACTCCCATTCACAATAGCTACAAAGAGAATAAAATACCTAGGAATACAACTAACAAGGGATGTGAAGGACCTCTTCAAGGAGAAATACAAACCACTGCTCAAGGAAATAAGAAAGGACACAAACAGATGGAAAAACATTCCATGATCATGGTTAGGAAGTCAATATTGTGAAAATGGCCATACTGCCCAAAGTAATTTATAGGTTCAATGCTATCCCCATAAAGCTACCATTGGCTTTCTTCACAGAACTGGAAAAACCAACTTAAGCTTCATACAGAACAAAAAAAGGGCCTGCATAGCCAAGATAATCCTAAGCAAAACAAAAAAACAAAAAACAAAGCTGGAGGCATCACACTACCTGATTTCAAACTATACTACAAGGCTACAGTAATCAAAACAGCATGGTAGTGGCACTAAAACAGAGATGTAGACCAATGAAACAGAACAGAGGCCTTGGAAGTAATGTCACACATCTACAACCATCTGATCTTTGACAAACCTGACAAAAACAAGCAATGGGGAAAGGATTCCCTGTTTAATAAATGATGTTGTCAAAACTGGCTAGCCATATGCAGAAAGCTAAAACTGGACCCCTTCCTTACACCTTATACAAAAATTAACTCCAGATGGATTAAAGATTTAAACATAAGACCTAACACCATAAAAACCCTACAAGAAAACCTAGGCAATACCATTTAGGACATAGGCATAGGCCAGGGCTTCAAGACTAAAACACCAACAGCAATGGCAACAAAACCCAAAATTGACAAATGAGATCTAATTAAACTTAAGAGCTTCTGCACAGCGAAAGGAACAATCATTAGAGTGAACCGGCAACCAATGGAATGGGAAAAAATTGTTGCAATCTACCTATCTGACAAAGGGCTAATATATAGAATCTACAATGAACTTGAAGTTTAGAAGAAAAAAACAACTCCATCAAAAAGTGAGCAAAGGATATGAACAGACACGTTTCAAAAGAAGACATTTATGCAGTCAACAAACATATGAAAAAATGCTCATCATCACCGGTCATTGGAGAAATGCAAATTCAAACCACATTAAGAAACCATCTCATGCGAGTTAGAATGGCAATCATTAAATAATCTGGAGGCAACAGATGCTAGAGAGGATGTGGAGAAATAGGAACGCTTTTACACTGTTGGTGGGAGTGTAAATTAGTTCAACCATTGTGGAAGACAGTGTGACAATTCCTCAAGGATCTAGAAATAGAAATACCATTTGACCCTGCAATCCCATTACTGGGTATATACCCAAAGGATTGCAAATCCGTCTATTATAAAGACACATGTACACGTACGTTTAATGTGGCACTGTTTACAATAGCAAAGACTGGGAACCAACCCAAATGTCCATCAATGATAGGCTGGATAAAGAAAATGTGGCACATATATACCATGAAATACTATGTAGCCATAAAAAAGGAAGAGTCCATGTCCTTTGCAGGGACATGGATGAATCTGGAAACCATCATTCTCAGCAAACTGACACAAAAACAGAAAACCAAATACCACATGTTCTCACTTGTAAGTGGGTGTTGAACAATGAAAACACATGGACACAGGGAGGGGAACATTACACACCAAGGCCTGCTGGGGGGTGGTGGGGGAGCTAAGGGAGGGATAGCAGCAGGTGGGAGGATTGGGGAGGGATAACAGGAGAAATACCTAATGTAGATGACAGGGGGATGCATGCAGCAAACCACCATAGTATATGTATACCTATGTAACAATCCTGCAAGATCTGTACATGTACCCCAGAACTTAAAGTATAACAACAAAAAAAAGAACTTTGCATGCTCTTTCTTTTTTCATTTCCCAAGTCTCTTCACTCTCTGCTCAAGCTAGGTTGTGTTTAGTTCCCACGTGTCTGGTTCTTCCCTCTAGCAAGAAGATAAACAGTACTTTCTCTGTTTTCCTCTAAGCCCAATTCCTCATCAATCTAGGACTGAAATCTGAAATGGAATCCTCATCCTTTGTGACTTGTCTCATAACTGCCTTGCCCAACAAAATGGTTAATCAGACATTTCTCTGCCAAAGAAGCTGATAGCTGCTCTCATT